CCTCCCCTCTTGTCATACACTGCCCAGCTTTTGGAATGCACCCTTGGCCATCCCAATTCGTCTTCGGATCTCAGCGTCGCACCTGCCGTCCTCCGTCAAAACATTTCCCAGATATTTAAACTTCCGCACATGTTTGACTTTAGTGTCCCCGACCTGCAAATCGCATTTTGGGATCATCCTTTTAAACTTAAGAAAACGTATTTTTTTCGAAAGAAATTTTCAACATGTTTCTGCTTCTATGTGAACTAATCATTTTTCCTATCATAATCATCCAAGCCATCATAATCACACGAGCTCCACCATAACGTTATCCGACTATAGGGAGCCCGACAGAGAAAAGGAAATTTGATGAAAAGCAAATTTACAAACATATAAAAAGAATATATTTTTTTTATTTTGAATACCACATTTGACGTTTATGTTTTTTGTTTTTTAAGCAACTAAGTGTCTATCTTTTGCTTTTGTTTCAAATAACTGTAAAAATAAATGTCAACAATTAAATAAACTCTACCAAATTGCCTGGGTTTTTTTTTGTGGCGGGGTACACTGTATTATTACCATTAATAATACAATCGTCACCAAACCTATTATTATTATTATTATTATTATTAATATCATTATTATTATTTTTAATATTATTATTATTTTTATTAATATTACTATTATTTTTTTATTATTATTATTATTAATATTTCATTTAATTTTTTTTTTTATTATTTTATTAATATTATTATAATATTATTATTATTTTTTTATTATTATTATTATTATATGATTATTTATTTTTATTATTTATTATTATTATTATTATTATTATTATTATTATTATTATTATTTGTGTATTTTATTGTTTCCTGCTTTGTATCCTGTATAGCTGGGTCCAAACTATAGACCCTATAGGAGAAAAGGTCATTTAATTGATAGCACTTTTCTTAGTATATGGGATGTTACTAGTCGGGCGATTTACTTGGCAACCTGTATGTTGATGTTACATGCGACTCTGGTAGCAAAATTGTCCATTCCTTTTCTCACGAGGCCCAGAGGTCCGATTACTATTGGTACAGGCTCAGTCTTCATTCCCCACATCCTGTTAATTTCGATGTCCAGGTCCTTGTATTCTCGATAATTGTTATTGGGTTTGTTTGGAATAATACAATAAAATGTACTGCAAAATGCATCATCAATCATCATCAGTTATCATATTCTTGGGAAGACTGTTCCTGCAGCAGGGTTGACAAATCAGCAGCAGAGTCTCTGAGCAGTCTTAATTGTTATCTTTGTTATTATTATTATTATTATTATTATTAAATTAGGTGTATCATATATTATGGGTTCTTCTTTTAGTATCATCATCAGAGCATCATCCAAATTATGACCCTTATTATTGCCCCTGTTAGGAGAATTATTATTTAATTGATAGCACATTTCTTAGTATATGGGATATTCCTAGTAGGGCGATCTTCTGGGCAACTTGTATGTTGATGCTACCTTTTAATAAAATTGTCCATTCCTTTTCTCACGAGGCCCAGATCTCCGATTACTATTGGTACAGGCTCAGTCTTCATTCGACACATCCTGTTAATATCGATCTCCAGGTCCTTGTATTTTGACAATTTCTCGATAATCTTTATGGCGGTGTTTCTCTCAGATGGTACTGCTATGTCAATAAACACACACTTCATGAATTTCTTTTCTTTTATAATAATATCAGGTCTGTTGGCTTTTATTTCCCTGTCAGTTTGAATTGGTTTGTCCCAGAGGATAGTTACATCGTTATTTTGGATAATTATGTCTGGTTGGTGCTCATACCATCTCTCAATGGTTTCAATTTTGTGTTTCTTGCACATATATCACTACCTTGGTATGTTTGTGGGTTTTTATTATTATTATTTGTTATTATTATTATTATCATTGTTATTATTATTGTTATTGTAATTATTATTGCTATGATTATTATTGTTATCATTATTATTATTATTATTGTTCTTAATATTATTATTATTATTATTATTATTATCATTCCTCCATATTTTGAAAATGTCTCAGTCTGATCCACTTTTGTTCTTGACTCCCTCAATTCCAGCCTTTTCAAAGGTCTGGGCGCTGGTCAAAAATGGTTGTTTTTCTATACCTCGCTTTAGTTTATGTTCATCTCGAAGAAGCGAATTCTTAAAGTCTTTTCCTTTAATTCGATTTCTCAACTTACTTTTCAACAGCATTCTTTATCTTTCGATAATCTCTTCAAAACTCCTTTGATATCTCCAATGTGGACATTCCCACACTCAATAACTTTGTTATTTTCTATTTTTCAACAGTTTTTACATCCTTTCCTTAACCCATATTTCAACATGTATTATGAACAAAAAGAAAAAAAAATGTTTTTTTTATTAGATTTCAGAGGACTTAAGCTAATACTAGCTTCATCGGCATAACATCAATCGGTTCACTTTTTAAATCCCAATTATCACAAAAACTAACCATTAAAAATGGCGGAAAATTGATATTTACTTAACCCCCATGAGTTCAGGTTGTGACACAAGGTTGGTTTAATGTGAGGAGCCCGAGCGCATGCACCCGGGCAAGGAACAAAAATTCCTCGAGCCCCCGCAACCGTCGGTTGCGCTGGCCTCGGTGCGAGCACCGATCCCTCCCTATGGTGCAATGGGAGGGCGCGGCCTCGGGCAGCAGTTCTCCAGGGCTGGGCACCTCTCAGTATTATTTTCTCAGTTGCCCCTCCGTCCTTTGACAAAGAAGCCCCTGAGCGCAATCTGTGCAAGGACAGAGACGCAACTGAGAGATGATAAGTAGACGAGACCTTACTCAAGTTACACGCTAAAAAAAAAAAAATGGCGGAAAATTTAATTAAATATGTTACTCTAGGTGGAAATAGATGAGTTTAAATTTGACAAATATTGGTTCAAAACTTTTTGAGTTATTGAGGTTTATTTGATTTGCATAATAACTTCAGACAGTTTGTAAGTACAAAAGCATTCATTATTAACGACTTTAAAGAATAGTATTTTTATTGGTTTTCATATATTTCCATTAACTTTTTATAGCAGCCACATTATTGCCACATGTTTCAAAAGGGTTACCTGCCGAGATGGTTAACCATGGTGTTTATTTATTTTAGGTCAACATTTTAGCTTGTATCCCTTTAGAGCAAGGAAAGTAAGTAGGAAAATACTGAAAATAATATATAACATAAATGAAATGTTACAGATGGAGTGAAAAAGAATGAGGAAAACAAAAGGGGGGAGAAAAAAGGAAAAAGAAAGATGTTGCAAAAAAAATGAAGAAAGGGTACATAGGAAAACAAAGAGTTGAAGAAAAATAAGAAATAGAAAAGAATAATTAAGTAAAGGAATGAGAGAAAATGGTTATAAAATAAATAAATAGTCCCCCCCTTTCATCTCCAAAAGCCGGAAATTGCGAAAAAAAAAGTAAAAAGAAAAGGATAAAAGATTTGACAAAAAAAACAAAAAAACAACCAGAAAACGCATGAATTGAAAGTGCAAAATGAAAAAGAAATGTATGAATATTAAACTGAAGGAAAAAAGAAAGAACCTTTTAAATGGGAAAAAAAACAAAAAAAAAAACAGAGAGAAATTTTTCATGAGAAAAAGTTGAACAACATAAAAAATAAACTCTACTGAATCAAACTGGTAACAAGGCGAAGCGGCAATTTGTTGTCGGAAATTATTTGTAGCATCAGCAGCAGCAGCGACGCATTTCATGGCTCCAGTTACTGAACTCGGACCACTTGACGCTGATGATTCCATTATGGTCTAACTTGTTCTTATGCTTGTTCCCCTTGGGAATAAAATAATTTCTCTTGAACAACAAATTATTTGTCTAATCGATTCTGAATGGCATCAAGCACATATGCTTCTTGTCCATGGCTTATGGTAGAGGGATTTGCAGTTTTGGGTCATTGGTCTCTCCCCAAAACATTTTGCTCTAGAAGTGCGTCTAATAAGGTCGGGGAAATCACTTGGGTGTATTCAGGCTGTCAAAACTGGACGAAGTGGCAGGAAAGGTTTCTTAATCAGTGACAAATATCCTGACATTAACAATTTTAGTGATAACTTGCGATTTGGTGTGTAAAAGTAGCAGTAGTAGTAGTGGTAGTAGTAGTAGTGGTAGTAGTAGTAGTAGTTAGAAGAAGAAGAAGAAGAAGAAGAAGAAGAAGAAGAAGAAGAAGAAGAAGAAGAAGAAGAATTACATAGATAAAGCCCTTCGTAAAGTGTGGGCTGAACTTGTGAGAACAATTTTTTGAATCACTTTGAGGCATGGATTTCCAGGAATCCCTTCAATTAGTCTACTGCAATCTTTTTCAACCAGTCCTACAACAGGGATTGTTGATGTTCTTATGTGCCACATTTTCGAGATTTCTATTTCAAGGTCCTTGTATTTTGACAACTTTTTGAATATCTTCAAAGATACATTGCAGTCAGCAGGGACTGCCATATCAATAAGGAGGCTCTTTTTTGTGGTCTTTAATTATTATTATTATTATTATTATTATTATTACAAGTAAAGAGAAATCCTTGTGTGAAAGAAAAATAGGACTGAAGTAAGGGCAAAGAATAGAATAAAATAATTAAGAAACACACAAGGAAATGAAAGAAAGAAAAATAGAAAAATAAAAGAGATTTGATATAAAAAGAAAAAGAATATAGAACATTTAAAGAAATAAAAAATGAAAATAAAAAAGAAAAAGAGAAAAGAAAAAGAGAAAAGGAAAGAAAGATTGATTTGTTTTTATGACTTATTAACCTCTTGCATGTTATTTAAGCCAGAAAATATTTTCAAATTATTTGGAGATAACAATACAAGTTCTAATAATTAACCTATAGCTGGGGGAAAAGAGGTGGATTCATTATTTTTCCAAGGGTATTTGCGCGTAAGTGAATATAACGAAATCGATTGGAATTGGAACTCGATTCAGTGGTCTTCAATTTCGAGCCGTCATCTATTACACCACCCGCACATCCAGGATTACATCACCTGGTATTTCAAGGCGGTCCCCGATATAGGTACTAAACAGGAACGATGTTGCTTGACTTTGCCGATCGTACGGGAAGCGCTGTTTCAACGTGATATGGCCGTAAACCAAGAAAAGATAGAAGAAAATAAGAAACGGCTTACGGCTCTATCACGTTGAAACCAAAGGTAAGCCACCTCGACCCTAGTCAGTGCTGAGATGGGTGACCGTTTGGGAATAACATCTCGGAAATGGAAATCGGAGAGTCGAGTTCCAATTTCAGTCGGGTTCCTTACCGTAACTTATATGCAAATACACTTGGGAAATCTATGAATCGTCTCCCCCAAACTATGGGTTAATTAGTTAGACTTATATCAATAAATCCTTACTATCTCCAAAAAATGCTTTCAATCTAAAACTATTTTCTGGCTAACATGCAAAAGGTTGATAAAACGTAAAAAAGAAAACCAATCAATCAATCTGCATTTTATCTCTCTGTTTAACCTTTGCAAATCTGTATACTTCCCGGTCTATAAATTACCTTTTGAATATTTTCATATCTCTTTTGATGACGTTTTAGACGTGCCAATTTTTTTTTTTTTTGTTCTTATTAATGTTTTCAAAATTTCTTTTGATTTTTCTATGATGGATTTTGAACTTTTCCACAATTTCTGACATTGAATTCTGATCGCTCAATAACTTTACAATTTCTTCTTTCTCTTCCGATATAATAACTTTCTTATAATCCATGAAAATACTTATCAAGCTGAAAAGAAAAAATAAATATCAGTAACTTTACTATTATTCATATTTACTTCCAGGAAAATGAACAACCTTAGAGTTGCATAAAATCTACCGTGACCCGAAATAATTTGTTGTTGATATTTCTCGTAAAAAGAATGTAATATAAGCGTAAATTCACGTGATATGTTTATTTGATGAATAGAAATGTATCCTGGCAGTTTTATCTACATTTATTTTTAACACAAATATTACTGCTCAAAATAGATTTGCAAATACAGTGTGTTTACGTAGCTCAAGACGAAGGCGCACTTATTTGATGGCCCTCGTGATGATTAATTTGAATTTGTAAAATCACATTACTAATTGATATATACTCGAGGAAATATCGATAATACATATCTTATCTATATCTACCAAGCGGCGACAGTCTGTTGATGACTGAACGCAAAGTTCAGGCCTAGAAGATTGCGTTCAAACATGTAATAGTCGACGTTTAGTGTTGATTGTGTCTAAATTTAGTGTCTAAATTTACAGACACGCTCACACATACATGTATATATACATATATATATATATATATATATATATATATATATATATATATATATATATGTGTGTGTGTGTGTGTGTGTGTGTGTGTGTGTGTGTGTCTTTTGGCCCTAAATTTTACGAGAGGTCTTCTCGTAATTTAAACAGTGTCTTATTTGTTTTGAGAAGACCTACCTATATAAGTAGATCCATTTTACCCATGTCTTTTACTAGAGGACATCTTTATTTAAGTATTGCTTTTTTGGACATCTTTTTTACGTTTTAGTAGTTCCCTTGTTTTGATCTTTTTTCTTTTTTTTTTCTTTTTTCATTGTTCTTTGATGCCTGTTTAACTTTTCCCCAATTTCTGACATTGACTTCTATTCGCTCAATAAATTTGCCATTTCTTCTTTCTCTTCCGATGTAATAACTTTGTTATAATCCATGAAAATCCTTATCAATCTGAAAAGAAATGACACATATTACTAACTTTACTGTTATTTATATTTATTTCCAGTAAAATGAACAACCTTAGAGTTGTATAATAAAATTTCACGCTATCAAAACTGTCATCGCACAGTTGTAGAGGAAGTGATAGATCTAGAAAAAGATAAACTAATGAAGCTCATTTTATTTCAATAGTAGAAATTTTGATCTTATTTGTTATGAGAGAGACCTGTCTATTTAAATAGTCCCAATTTTGTCACTATTTTTATGAGAGGATCTGTTTATTTAAGTACCTCGTTTTTTACCCTTTTTTGCTGTAAGACTTGTCTATTTAAATAGTGCCTTTTTCCGCTCTATTTTTAAGCGAGGTCATGTGTCTCTTTTGGGCTTATTTGCACTGGAGGTCCAGTCTATTTATGAATTGTTCAATACTTTCATGGTAATTGCTCCGCTGAGCTGCTTTCACTGGTTTCCAGACTCCATGAATTCAAACGCCCTACGAGGCTGGCATCCCGCTCCCACCCTTACACTATAGAAATTTTTAAATGTAGCCGTCTCTTCTACTCCAATAGCTTTATAGGTCGCACCTCTCGCCTGTGGAACACCCTTCCAAATTACTGTTTCCCTGAGAGCTATAATCTCCAACTATTCAAATGTAATGTCAATCGACATCTCCAGTTACCTTGACCTATCCACTATCCCTCTCCTCATCCTTTCTTCTATCACTCCTATCTGCTCTTTCTCCAAATCTTCTGCAACCCCCTGCATCCTAGTGGCCTCACGCCTTGCTCGGGACGTAATGCTTAAAAAAAAAAACATTGGCCCTATTTTTTACAAGAGGTCATGTTTTTTTTTAAGTAGACTCTTTTTGGTGCTATTTTTTACAGGACGACCTGTCTATTCAAGTAGACTTTTCGGCTATATTTTTTGTAGGAAGACCCCTCTATGTAATATAGTACATTTTTTTAATTTTTTTTTACTGGTAGCACTATCTATTTAAGTAGTGTCGTTTTTAACCAATTTTTTATGAGAGGATCAGTCTATTTAAGTCGTGTTCTTTTTAGTCCTATGTTTTACCCCTCTTATTTAAGTAGTGACCTCTTTGAACCTATCTTTTACCTGAGGACCCCTCTATTTAAGTAGTGTACTCTTCGGCCTTAATTTTTAGGAGAGGACCTGTCTATTTAAGCAGTGTCCTTTTTGCTCCTATTTTTACGAGAGAACCTGTCTATTTAAGTTGTCTCCTCTTTGGCCTTATTTTTTACGAGAGGACTTGTCTATTATTTAATTTTCTATATTATTATCCTATTTTTACGCAGGACCTCGTCCATTTAAATATAATCCATTTTGGTTTTATTTTTGTGGGAGGCCCTCTCTGTTTAAGTAGTTCCCTGTTTGACTCTACTTTTTTACTGGAAGACCTTTCTGTTTAAATGGTGTCTTTTTGGTCCTGCTTTTTACGAGAGAAACTTACTATTTAAGTAATGTCTTCTTTGGCCCTAATTTTAAGAGAGGACCTATCTATTTTAAACAGTGTCCTTTTTGGTCTTAATTTCTTTTACAGGGGGACATGTCTATTTAAGTAGTGTTCTCTTTGACCCTAATTTTAAGAGAGGACCTATCTATTTTAAACAGTGTCCTTTTTGGTCTTAATTTCTTTTACAGGGGGACATGTCTATTTAAGTAGTGTTCTCTTTGACCCTAATTTTAAGAGAGGACCTATCTATTTTAAACAATGTCCTTTTTGGTCTTAATTTCTTTTACAGGGGGACATGTCTATTTAAGTAGTGTTCTCTTTGACCCTAATTTTAAGAGAGGACCTATCTATTTTAAACAGTGTCCTTTTGGTCTTAATTTCTTTTTACAGGGGACATGTCTATTTAAGTAGTGTTCTCTTTGACCCTAATTTTAAGAGAGGACCTATCTATTTTAAACAGTGTCCTTTTTGGTCTTAATTTCTTTTACAGGGGGACATGTCTATTTAAGTAGTGTTCTCTTTGGCCATAATCTTTATCAGGGGATCTGTCTACTTAAACAGTGTCCTTTGTGGTCCTACTTTTTTTATAGGAGGACATGTCTATTTAAGCAGTGTCCACTTTGACCCTAATTTTTACGAGAGGACCTGTCTATTTAAACAGTGTCCTTTTTTTGTCTTATTTTTTACAGGAGGACACGTTTATTTAATTAGTGTCATCTTTTGTCGGAATTTTTACAAGAGATCTTGTCTATTTAAACAGTGACCTTTTCCGTCCTATTTGTTACAAGAAGCTCTGTCTATTTAAGTAGAGTCCATTTTGGCCTTGTTTTTTTTACGAGAGGGTCTCTTCATTTAAGTAATGCTACGTTTGGAAATCTTTTTTTACGGGAGGACAATAACTTATCAAATTCTTCTTTCTCTTCCGATGTATTAACTTTCTTATAATCCATGAAAATCCTTATCAATGTGAAAAGAAAAAAATATCACTAACTTTACTGTTATTCATATTTACTTCCGGGAAAATGAACAACCATAGAGTTGCATAAAATCTACCCGAACACTAAATAATTTGTTGCTGATATTTCTCGTAAAAAGAATGTAATATAAGCGTAAATTCACACCTGGTGAATAGAAATGTATCCTGGCAGTTTTATCTACATTTATTTTTAACACGAATATTGCTGCTCAAAAATATTTGATGGTCCTCGTGATGATTAATTTGAATTTGTAAAATCACATTACTAATTGATATATACTCGAGGAAATATCTTATCTATATCTACCAAGCGGCAACAGTCTGTTCGATACTTGAACGCAAAGTCCAGACCAAGAAGATTAAGTTCAAACGAACTGTTGCCGTTTAGTGTGTTGACCTCACTGTCCAAATTTGCACACACACACAAACACACACACACGCATATATATATATATATATATATATATATATATATATATAGAGAGAGAGAGAGAGAGAGAGACGAATATGATGATTGGCAAAAGGCACCTAATATTTAATATAGTGTTATTTATTTATAATATATAAATTTTTACAGATTTTATTGTAATTTTCTTAGAAAAATAATTTGATTTCCTTTTTTTTGAAAACTTTAAACTTTTTAAACTAAGTAAAAGAAATAAGGAAAACAACAAATTATTTTTCTAAGAAAAACGCCGAAAAATTCAATTGTAAATAACGAAGTTTTAATTCTTCTCCGTAAAATACATATATTATAAATAAATACCACTATATTAAATATTAAGTGCCTTTTTACAATCCTCATTTTAATCGACACAATAAATTTTTGTACAGAATCTTTCTAACATTTTTTTACCTATAAATACATACATATATATATATATATATATATATATATATATATATATATATATATATATATATATATATATATATATGCTTGTGTTTGTGTATC